GGTTGCAGTCAGGAAGCATTTCTATGTAAACATTTCTGTTGTTCACAAGACTTCAGAGAAAGGAACTTGAATCTCGAAGGCTCTAGCATTTTTTGGTGATTTCTTTTCACATTCTAAATAAATATTGCTACCTAATTTTGCATAATTTTGTAGTCTTATTCTTGGAGAGGATCATTCAAATTGTATATGCTCCAGGCTACACAAAATCCGGATCTGCCACTGGGTTTTACTAAATGAGATACCTGGGTGCTTTGCTGATACTTATTTCCCTACATTTAGTAACACATAATTTATTCAAGTAAGCATTAAAATAGAATCTAGGGAATCCTCAAATCATTCTAAAATCAATGACTTGGTGACTCTTACAAGAGAACTGGAACTTTCTGGCAACCAATATATTTCAATATTGGCATTAGTTAATGCTATAAAACTGTAACTCAGACAGTGACTTCAGTTCTTTTCAGTTCAAGTCAGCAAGCCTTTGTGGAACACCTACAGTGTGTGATGATGATTTTGGATCAGTTTTTTTTTTTCAGATAATTTAAATTCAATTTAAGAGTCATTTGAAATTAATTTTTATCTTTGTTTGGAGAAGCGTATGTTGACCTATAGTACTTAACCATGACCTGTGTAGTAGTGATGATGGAAAACTGCTACCCTGGGACTTGACTGTGGTAAACTGCTTGAGACAGCCAAGAAGCCAAAAATGGAATGCATCTGTAGGCTTTTCTTTTCAACACTTATAACTTGCCTATTTGTGCTTGTGCTCCCAGTGTCCTCTGGAGTGAGGCCTGATTGTTGCTGCTTTTGTCAACTTTGTAATAGAAGTGTCTGTGGAAGAAAGTGGCCCATCTTCTTTTCCCATTCATAGCACCATACTCTTCATAACTGATAACCTGAAGAAGATGAATTACCTTACCTGCCCAAATACAAGATATATTTTTATCTCTAATTCATTCCTCAGAAAAGAGGGAATCACTTTTGAATCTTTGAGTTACTCTCAGATTATTGAGCATTATTTTGAATATAAAACATTGTTAAATGATTTTATAAAATAATTTTATATTTGAATATAAAACTGTTTAGAGAAGACATATTAGCCTAAAATAATCGCAGTGTTTAGAATATTTGCCCTTTATAAGGTTTACAAAAAATATCATTTAACAGAGATTTAGTAATTCTTCATGGTGGCACAACCTTTAAGTGTTGGATGTCTTCAGAAATTTTTTGAAAAGTAATACTGTAAGTTGTGATATTATAACAATTACAAATACATATATATCTGTAAGATAAATGAAAAAACTGTTATATAATTTGAGTAACTTTGGACACTTAGTTACTGCATTATATTTAAATACAAAAGTCTATATCTCAAATACTTTAGAAGGAAACAAGGATTATATGGTATTGTGCAAAAGAGGCATCTTGCACAAAGGCTGTCTTGGTACACTCAGGTCTGAACTGTTACCCCTAATCTGTAACTCATCCCATCCTTCTCAGTTGCCCTGTCCACTGGCTTTGTTTTTGAGTCTCCCACTATGCTGTTTATGTCCTCCTTCAGATTTGATTCATGTATTTGACTTTGTAGCTACATTGCTGAATTCTCTGCTATAGTACTATTTACCTACATGGCATTTTTAAACTACCTTGGTAATGCTATGTCTAGACTAATTCAGTCTGTCCTGCTGGAATCCTTTGAGTCTGAGCCTGAAAGGGAGTTGAGAAGGTTTTACCAGAGGTGTTGTTACTGTGAGGCTAATGCAGTTGAAACTCAGAGTTCTACACTTGCCTGGGCTCCTGTGAGATGCTAGGAGTTGTAGAATGTTCTAGATGAAGAGAGGAATCAGGTTGCAGTCAGGAAGCATTTCTATGTAAACATTTCTGTTGTTCACAAGACTTCAGAGAAAGGAACTTGAATCTCGAAGGCTCTAGCATTTTTTGGTGATTTCTTTTCACATTCTAAATAAATATTGCTACCTAATTTTGCATAATTTTGTAGTCTTATTCTTGGAGAGGATCATTCAAATTGTATATGCTCCAGGCTACACAAAATCCGGATCTGCCACTGGGTTTTACTAAATGAGATACCTGGGTGCTTTGCTGATACTTATTTCCCTACATTTAGTAACACATAATTTATTCAAGTAAGCATTAAAATAGAATCTAGGGAATCCTCAAATCATTCTAAAATCAATGACTTGGTGACTCTTACAAGAGAACTGGAACTTTCTGGCAACCAATATATTTCAATATTGGCATTAGTTAATGCTATAAAACTGTAACTCAGACAGTGACTTCAGTTCTTTTCAGTTCAAGTCAGCAAGCCTTTGTGGAACACCTACAGTGTGTGATGATGATTTTGGATCAGTTTTTTTTTTTCAGATAATTTAAATTCAATTTAAGAGTCATTTGAAATTAATTTTTTTAACAGTGAATTATTTTTAGTTCCTTGGAACATTAATAGCAGTTCTCTTTAAAGAAATGAGAAATTGGGGTCAACATGATAAATATGATTGAATGCCAAGGAACAACAATGATAAATTGTTGGTACCAGTCATTTGATGTTTTCTGAACAGAGAGACCTGTCAGCCTGCCAGTGCTAGGAGTTTCAGTACAGAGGATATAAAATGAAAAGTATCCTTCATCTTTTTTGTAAATAGTTTCATGACCATGGGTAACTTTGAGGTAACGATTTTTTAAAACCAAGTACCCTAATATGAAAATGAACAACCTATGTTCATCATTTCATCATTCTTTTAAAATGTGTCTTTAAGTCAGTATCAAGTACTTGTGTTGCAGAAATATCATAAATCAGTACATAATGTCAGATACAGATAAATGTTTTGAAATAAAATCAAGGAAAGAGAGAGATTGATGGTTGGGGATGGTGCTGTTTTGGAAAGGCTGTTCCTTGCTATTCCTTAAATGTGTCATGCATATCCCCAGCTTAGGACCTTTGCATTTGCTATTCCTTCTATCTGGAATGCTCCCTATAGATAACTGCATCAGTTATTTTCCAACTTCACTCAGAGCTGTGACTACCTGTTGAAAGTAGCACCTTCCCATTCTATTCTTTTCTCCTACTCTTCAAGTATTTTTCACCATCTCACTTTGGGAACCAAAGAGATTCAAATAATTTCTTTGATATCTTCTGCTATCTGAACTCTTACTACTTGCTCTCTGCAATTCAAGAATTGAAGAGATTTAAAAAAATATCTCTTGCTGTTTGATTGGATAGCTGAATCAGGAACCCATTAATTTTGTTTAGTAAGGGATAATTATTTTCATTGTAATATTTTTTACTCTCTGATTTGTCTTTTTTTTTTTTTTTTTTTTGGTCTGACTCCCTCTCTCCCTTACTAAAATGTTAGGTACATGGTACCTGTGACTTTGTTTTGTTCACTGCCTTATCTGCATCACCTGGAGCAGTATCTGGCACCTGATTCTCAATAAATATGTGTTAATACATGAGGGAATCCATTTGACTCACTCTCATCTGAACTTTAATTTAAAAAAATATATGATTTATGGAAAAGTCTTATTCACATTATTAAGTTTTAAGCAGGATGAGATTTATATATACAGTATGATTTCTACTACTTAGTTTTAAATAAACCTCAAACCTCATGTGTTCATTCATTCATTCCTTGAAAGAAAAATACTAAGCATTTTCTGTATGTGCATTCTGTGCTAGGTATTTTAACTCAGCTACAGTTTGATGAGAGGACAGATCATGAAATAACAGTAAATGAATCCCACCCATCCCCTCACTCAGTGCTCTCCAGCTATGTTAATTTTTCAAATTTTCACATTTACTAACCTCTTTCTTTTGCACAGGATTATTTCATTATGTGCTTAATATCTGTCTCCCTCTATACTTTAAATTCTCTGAGGCTAAGGACCAGGATACATGTAATTATCAATACCCAGCTTAATGCTTAACATATCGTAGGTACTCAATAAACATTTATTGGATAAATGATTTAAGGACATAGTAGGAACAGTGTATCTAAATCTAATGGAAGTTAGGGGAAATTAATTTCAAGTTGGGATCTGAAGAATGAGGGAGAATTGGCAAGTAAAGATGTCCACACAGTGTTCTGGAGCTAAAAGTCAGACTTTATCCTAAAAGCAATAGAAAAGTTTTAGACAAAAAAAGTGGCACTGTCAGACTTACATTTTAGATAGATCATTTTTCAGTGTTAGGAATGGACTGGAGGCAACACTGGAGCCGAGTTTGGGTTAGCAGGCTTTAATGTTGGATGGTTGTAGCCTCCATTGGGTTCTTAGAAGTGGGGAAGGAGAGAAGTGGATACATCTGAGAGAGTTTTTTAGAAGGCAGAATAGGTGACTGAGGATATGAGTGAAAGAGAAGAGTTAAAGATGATTCCAAGCTTCTGGCAAATAAAGGATCCTAGTGCCATTCACTGAGACTAGGGATTCAGAGGCTGAAGCCTTCTTAAGAGAAAAGAGCCTGAGGTGCCCTTGAGATCTATCTCAAGTGAAGCTGAGCATTAAGGACTTGGTTTTATATATATTTTTTTCTTATTAAGGTTTAGTTTTCACTATTAGTGTGTTTTATGAAGGAAAAATAATAAACTTTTAAAAATTATATTAGTATTTGCCATAGGAAATGCTGTACCAAAAAACCCAAAGGACAAAAAGCCAAGGCCTTCTTAGGTAAAATATGATCTCTTCCCAATGAAAATAAATGATTGGTCCTGAATAGAAGCCCACTGTGGTAGGATTCACCATTGGTTGTATGTGTGTGTGGGCAAGGGCCCAACAGGTGGTCATTTGGAAATTTAAACTGAACTTTCAGAGAAGGTCTTCTAGAGCCAGGGACTGTCTCTTGTTCATCCGTGTATCCTTAGCCCTCAGCACAGTCCCTAGCACTTAAGCTATTTATTATTTTAAATTTATTAATGTTTATTTTTGTTTGCATCACTATTTGCTGTGGTTGTTATACAGTGATGTTATTTGTGTCATTTGGTTTTTAGGTAGATTGGGGTCAGCTTGACTATTTAGTTGTGGACATGCCACCAGGAACTGGAGATGTGCAATTATCAGTCTCACAGAATACTCCCATTTCAGGTAAATTAGTTAAAGCTTAAAGTAATGTGTGCTATCTTTGGTGTTTTGCTGTTCATAAAGAAAAACAAATTCCATGACAGGCAAACATTTTTGTGTCTTAAAAAATAGTCATTTATACAAGTACCAAATGATTTCCCTCATTTGTGGAGTATAACAATGAAGCAAAACTGAAGGAACAAAACAGCAACAGACTCACAGACTCCAAGAAGGGACTAGTGGTTACCAAAGGGGAAGGGTGAATGAGGGTGGGTGGGGAGGAAGAGAGAAGGGGATTGAGGGGTATTATGATTAGTATACATGGTGTGGGGGTATCAGGGGGAAGACAGTATAGCACAGAGAAGGCAAATAGTGACTCTGTGGCATCTTACTACACTGATGGGCAGTGACTGCAGTGGGATATGGGGGGACACGATAATATGGGTGAGTGCAATAACCACATTGTTTTTTCATGTGAAACCTTCATAAGAGTATATCACTTATAACTTAATTTAAAAAGTCATTTATAAATTTTCTTTTAGATTTCAAATTAATTAATTGAATTTTTAAAAATATTACCAGAATGAGTATGTTTACAAAAACATAAAGATACTTTAGAAAAATGTGATATAAATCTGTGTTCTAGAAAAGCAGTAGCATTTAAGTTTTGGGTAGAATATAGTGGTTAGGGTCATACTGCCCAGCACTTATAACATACTGCCTGATACATGGCAGGCACTCAATAAATACTTACTGAAAAATACTGAATAAGAGTAAATATTAGGAGAATTTGGATTTTTTGGCAAATACAACCACGGGAAAATTTTATATTCTGCTAATGAATGTTAAAGCCAAGAGAGCAATAAACATGTTAGCTTACATCAAATACATAATACTTAAGTATAGTAGGGTATATCTTTTTTTATGGAATGGAATTTAAATATTAGTAGCTTTATTTTGAATCTGTTTCCAAGGATTTTCCTAGATTCCACTGGAGAAATAATTGTAAATCTCTCTCTTACTATAAGAACTTTGAGAAAATAGTGGAATTTTAAAATGTCTTTGCAAATCAGTTACTTATTGGTAATAAATAAGCAAGAGCTATCACTGACATTTAATCATCAAAAGGTTTAGAATCTAGGCCTTTGATGAGATATGCACATTGTTTGGAAATATCAATATAGTGTCATTAATATGAATAGTTTTGTTATTTAAATATGTCTGTAACCCTAATGGAGTCTGAAACTTTTTCTTTGGTGAGGCAAGCTATTTAGTATGGGATGAGAGTAAATTGAAGTATCATAGAAAAATAATACATCCTTTTTGTAAACAGTGTACTATAGAGCCTGCTTTTCCTTTTTAAAGTAGTTTTGGGGTTTTTATATTTTTAAATCTTAAGAATACTCACCAAACGTTTATTGAACAATGTGTGCTCCTGGCCCCTTGAAATATTGCTGGCTTCTAAAATGCTTACATTATTCATGTGGATACTGCATTGATAATTTTGGGCTAAATTTTTATTTATTCTGAGTTGTAACTTGGTACCTTGAAAAAGTTTAATTTACTTTACACAGATAAACTGATATGCCTAAGCAATTTACCCTTGTTTACTTAGATAACAGCCCCTCGTCTGAATGGGATTTGTGATTGTATCACCCTATTTTAATTTGTGCTTATACTCTAAAACTAATAATGTGTAGATTGGGGTCAAGATTTGCTTCTCCTTTGAGGATTTCTTCCTTTTTATATCCTAAAATTCAACTACTATATTTCTTTATTCCTTTCCTCTGATGAAGAGTCTGCCCTGTAATAGGTGATTAATATTATATGATAATAAAAGCAGAAATAATTTAAAAAATGAATTTAAATAGTTACTTTTAATTGAAGTATAATTGTCTTAATACAAAACCCAACAATGTTTGGCTTGTTGATTTTCTGAGTTTAGTTTTTTTAGTCCATTTAAACTCATTTAGGTTGAAATTAATCTAGATGATTTCTGATACAAATAAATATGTGTCTGAATATGCCTAACCGTGTGCACTCCTATAAGATGACTATCCAACCAGTGGTCTGTATTGGTGTTTACTATATTCACTATTATTTTTTTAACTCCTGAGAGATGGCTTTGGGCCTCTTTAACTCATATATTCCAGGGAAGGTATGGAGGCAGTTGAGAAGAAGCCTCCTTTGTCCTTTAGGAGTAGAATCCTAAAGGATTCTTGGAAGGACCAGTATTATCTTTGGGCTGATCATACTGGTTTTGGACTTTTGACTTATTTCCAGGCACACAATTTCTCAATATAGAACAGCAGCTTATCCATGTTAGTACATTCATACTGTGTGTTATTATGACAATATTAAAATTAGTAGCAATGAAAGGACTAGGTTGTCTGCAGTGAACATGTATTAATTTTGTAATTAGGAAAACATAGTGAATAATATAAGTATTCTACTGAAAGGTTGTGTGCAGTGGAGTACGAGGGTGCATGTGATTGTGTGTGTGTGGATGTGTATGTGTGTGTTTGTGAAAGGCTTAGTTCCTGAGGTTTCATTTAATTTCAGGACAATGTCATTTCACAGCTAACGTATCTAAGGAAATACCAAAATTGAGCCAGCCTCTAGGATTTAGAAGTAAGGCCACCAGCCAAAGACTTGCTGACCTGGCTTGGGTCATAGCCTTCATCAATTTATATAATGTGGAACAGCCAATCAAAGTCATGTCTGCCTTTCTCGGTCTAACTGAATTATTTATTCTTTAATTATGAACCTAATTTTCTTTACTTCTTATCATTTAATTCAGAACTCTTTTAAGATACTCTATGTTTGACCTCTTTTTTATTAAAATATAGTTGATATACAATATTATATTGGTTTCAAGTCTACAACACAGTAGTTCAACAGTTACCCATATAATTAAATCCTCACTCCACTAGTGCAGTTACTATCTGGAAACATAGATGTTACAGAACCATTGGCTATATTCTCCATGCTGTTCTACCATACCTGTGACCAACCTATATTATGACTGAGATTTTTGTGCCCTTCTATTCCCCCTTACCCACCCCAACCCTTCCCTATGGTAATCACCAGTCACTTCCCAGTGTCTATGAGTCTTTTGCTATATCGTTCATTTTGTTTTGTTTTGTTTTAAGATTCCACAAGTAAGTGAAATCATATGTATTTGTCCTTTCCCACCTGGCTTATTTCACTTAGCATAATATCCTCTAGGTCCATCAATGTTGTCCCAAATGGCAGAGTTCTTTCTTTTTTATGACCAAATAATATTGTATAATGTATATGTACCGCATCTTCTTTATCCATTCATCTATTATGGCCACTTTCATTGCTTCCATTTCTTGGCTATGGTAAATAATTAGGCAGTAAACATAGGGGTGCATATCTCTTTTTGAATCAGGGATTCTGTTTTCTTCAGATAAATTCCTAAAAGTGGAATTACTCAGTCAAATGCTATTTCTATTTTTAGTGTTTTGAGGAACCTGTATTGTGCTTTCCACAGTGGCTACACCAATTTGCATTTCCACCAATAGTGCAGGAGGGTTCTCTCTTCTCCACATCCTGCCAACACTTGTTATTTCTTGTCTTTTGGATGGTGGCCCTTCTAACTGGTGTGAGGTGGTATCTCACTGTGGTTTTGATTTGTATTTCACCAATGAATAGCATTGTGGAGCATCTTTTCATGTGTTTATTGGCCATCTGTATTTCCCCTTTGGAAAAACGTCTCTTTTGTATTTCCCCAATGATTAGCATTGTGGAGCATCTTTTCATGTGTTTATTGGCCATCTGTATTTCTCCTTTGGAAAAATGTCTCTTCAGGTCCTCCACCCTGTTTTTGATCAGGTTATTTGTTTTTTTTGGTGTTGAGGTATATGAGTTATTTATATGTTTTAGATGTTAACCCCTTATCCAAAAAGTCATTTATGAATATATTCTCCATACTGTAGGTTACCTTTTTGTTCTATTGATGGTATCCTTTGCTGTAGAAAAGCTTTTTAGTTTGATGTAGTTCCACTTGTTCATTTTTTGTTTTGTTTCCCTTGGCTGAGGAGATGTGTCCAGAAAATAATTGCTCATTCTTACATTCAAGAGACTTTTGCCTGTATTTTCTTCTAAGAGTTTTATGGTTTTATTTTTTACATTTTGGTCTTTAATACATTTTGAGTTTACTTTTGTGTATGTAGTGAGACAGTAATCCAGTTTTATTCTCTTGAATTTAGCTGTCCAGTTTTCCCAACACCATTGATTGAAGAGATTGTCTTTTCCCCATTGTGTATTCATGGGTCTTTTATCATATATTAACTGACCATATATGCATGGGTTTATATTAGGGCTCTCTATTCTGTTTCGTATATCTATGGGTCTATTCTTGTGACAGTACCCATCTGTTTTGATTACTGTAGCTTTGTAGTATAGTTTAAAGTCATGTTGCATAATACCCTCAGCTTTGTTATTTCTCAAGGTAGCTTTGGCTATTTGGGGCCTTTTGTGGTTCCATATGAATTTTAGGATTATTTGCTCTAGTTCATTGAAAAATATCATTGGTATTTTGATAACAATTGTATTGAATCTGTAAATTGCTTTTGGAAGGATGGCCATTTTTATTATATTAATTCTTCCTATCAATGAGCATGGGATATATTTCCATTTTAGTGTGTTCTTTAATTTCTCTCATGAGTGTCTAACAGTCTTGACCTCCTTGCTTAGGTTTATTCCTAGGCATTTTATTCTTCCTAATGCATTTGTAAATGGAGTTCTTTTCCTGATTTCTATTTCTGCTAGTTTATTGATAGTATATAGGAATGCAACAGATTTTTTTTTTGAGAGGGCACCTCTCATATTTATTGATCAAATGGTTGTTAACAACAATAAAATTCTGTATAGGGGACTCAATGCACAATCATTAATCAACCCCAAGCCTAATTCTCAACAGTCTCCAATCTTCTGAAGCATAACGAACAAGTTCTTACATGGTGAACAAGTTCTTACATAGTGAATAAGTTCTTACA